TGTGGCCCTGTGGTAAACCCTTTGGAGGCAGAGAGCCCTCCAACTTCAACCATCAGTGCCTGAGTAAGAGCCTATGCAACCAGAATGGGGAAACCAGGCCCTGCCCTCCACCCACAGCAACCTGGGTTCCCACACCCTGGAGCCACTCCAGTGGCAGATTGTTCCAGGTTTCAAGTTTAAGGTGAGTCAGTCGTATCCGACTAACTCCTTACCAGGAGCCACCACGTGGTTTACATCTCTAAACTCTGCAACTTTCTAATTGCACAAGGCAAACCCAGGTGGAGAACAACCTTGTGAAACTCCTCAGCGCTTTGGTGTGTCCTGGCTTGGCCAAGATGAACGGATGGGCATCTAATGTGGGTGCACAGCACACAGTGACACCACACACCACACTGCATTGCACAGAGCTTGCACCCTCTGGAGTATCCCAGAGTTTGCGGAATGCCCAGGACCTGAAGACACATCAGAGGCAGTGAGGGGCCCAGGGCGTGCTGAACAAGGCGCTGGCCATGGCCTCCTGGGAGTGGACTTGGTGTGGCAGGGAGATGGGGGGACCCGCTGTGCCCGGTGCCTACCCGGCAGCCAGCGGCTGTTATCCACTCTACTGACCCTGTAAGCCAAGGAGGGATGCTGTCCATGGTGCTGACCGGAGCGGCCCACAGCTGGACGCTATCTGCTGGGCTGACTGACAACCCATGGGAGGGTTGCTGTGCACAATGCGGGGGCGGGGGGAGCGGTTGGAGAGGGCATGGCGGGGGGGCTTTTGCTGTCCACGGTGCTGACGGGGGGAGTGCTGTCATGCTGTCCATGGCGCTAACCAGAGTGGCCCGGGGGTGTGGAGCTGTCCGTGGTGCTGACCGGACGGCCCACCTCAGGGATGCTTTGAGCAGGGATGCCCCTGTGCTGGGATGGCCAGCATCCCAGCTCCCTCCCTTCTCTAGTATTCTGAGGTGCTGTGCATTTTCTTGAGGGGTTAGAAGAACCAAAGAGAGGTATAGCTTAGTGAAAATTAATGATAAAACCAATGAGCAGAACTCTCCACACTGATATTCTAAACTCTGGTGAGCAGTAGGGTGCACCATGGGGTGGAGGGGTGGAGGGTGAGAAGAGGGGCACATGGAAGCCTTGGTCACTTGTCTGCCTTATTTCTGTGTCCATCCATGGGGAAGTGGCCTGCTTAGACAGGACAGGGTTCTGCACTCAGGGAGTCAGAACACTAACCTGCAGACAGGGATGGAGTCCTGGGTCTGCATATTTCACAGTGAGATTGTGGAGACCCTGGTGGTCTGGGAAGGTGCACTTTGCACGAGGCAAACACTGGATAAAATGGAAGTTATCTGTGCATGTGCCCAACCTTAGAGACCCCTAAACACTGAACCCTTCCAGCCTCCCTGGGGGGAGGGTAAAGAGATCTTACAGGTTGCATGGAACCCTAACTCATAACTGACAAGATAAAATACTGAGGAGATATGAGCTCCCTCTCTCATGGGCAGAGACTGGGGGCTCCCTCTCTTGCTTTTGTTCCTCAAAACTTCAAAAAGCCCTAATGTTGGGGAGAAGATGCTGGAAATATCTGCCTAATCTTTTTCCGGGCCCACCCCTCAGACCCTTGCCATCATCCCCTCCCCCAGATTTCTCCCTTGCTACACCTTGCCCCTGCCCGGACGCTCCCAGCCATTCATGACTTTATCTTGACTGACCTGTCTGGTGGGGCTCAGCAGGAACGGGGATGTTTCCTGTCCACAGGGTAGGCAAAGGCACCTCACCCCATGCACAACTTTCACCTGCCAGTGCCCACCTGGGGTTCTGCAAGTGACGCTGGTGACTTGGAGATAACCTGAGATGGCAGATGGGCAGTGATTGCACAAATGAGGGTCTAATTGACAATCAATTGTGATTAGGAGTTAAAGGATGTCTTTATAGCCCTAGACAGTCTATGTTGAGGGTGGGGGAGGGAGGTTGTTTCGGGGATCTGGGAGAGGAGGAGGGGATGCAATGCATCTCTGTGGCTTGGGTTGGTTCCTAGAGATGGGGCATGGTGGGGTGGGAGAGGCGGCCCTTCCCTGAGTCTGGTCTACACACCACCAACCCCCTCCCAAGGGAACGGAAGGGAGGTGACAGGTCCAGCTCTAGAGAACCCCTCAGGCCCTGCCCCGTTCCTCTGAGCCTGACTGAGGACTTGGCAGTTCATTACCCAGACTGCTCAGCTCCCATCAGAATGTTGGAGGAGGGGAACCCTGGGACCTACAAACTTCAGGACCACCAAGGTGCGTCTCAATCCAGAGCCAGACCCCATCCTTCAGCAGGGAGAGCGTTTAGCAGTGCCAATGTGTGTGTGTGCGTGTGTGTGTGTGCGTGCGTGTGTGTGTGTGCGTGTGTGTGTGTGTGTGTGTGCGTGTGTGTTGGGGAAAAACACCGTGCAGGTGTGCACTATATCGGAACATTATTCTGCTTAGTACATATCCTATTTAGTATACTGTTACTATGTCTCAGTGATAATCCGTACCAGCACTATGTAACACAGCATTTGCACGTTCTGTGCTCATCTTGAGTGAAAGTTGTACCCAGAGATTCAGGCGGGTCGTTACATTTCCTCACAGGTGGGTGTTTAGTGCAGAAATAGACACATGCTGGCCCCCACCTACCCAATAGGGTGTAGGCTGTGGTTGCTTGTAGGAGATATTTGAACAATTTCACACTTCATCTGGTGACCGGTGCTGTCTTGACCACACAGAGCCAGCTCAGAAATCTGCATTGAGACCTGCTCTCCAGTCCCCTCCCCAGGAAAGCCTTCTCAGCTCAGTGACTGTGCCTCCCAGGGGAGCAGCGGAAGAAGAGCTGGGGACCTGGCAGAGGGCGTGTACGTCCCTCCTCACCAAAGGAGTCAAAAGAGACCCCCAAGCAGTGAGGAGCTGGTGAGGACAGAATGCAAGTGCACCTGTGAGCCATGTTCCCGAGTGTGTGTGTCTGGGTGCTCATGAATGAATTCCTGCGCTTGTGAATGAATGTGTGTGTGAGAGAGAGAGAGAGAGAGAGAGAGAGAGAGAGAGAGAGAGAGAGGGAGAGAGGGGGGAGAGAGAGGGAGAGAGAGGGAGAGGGAGAGGGAGAGAGGGAGAGAGGGAGAGGGAGGAGAGAGAGAGAGAGAGAGAGAGAGAGAGAGAGAGAGAGAGAGAGAGAAAGAGAAAGGGGGCATGTACATCTATATTCAAACTTAGCTGAGGAAGGGGAGGGAGCAAAGACCAAGGTGGGGGCGGGAAGGAGATAATTACCTTCCTGCGATGAGAGATTACCACCCTCCTTCCCCAGAGGTGATTTATAATTTAAAGATAAAGAGTAATCAAGTCCCGGCAAGGAAGGACACAGTGTTGTGGGTCTGATTAGAATCTCGAGATGGACCAGCACACGGAGAGGGCGGGAGGGGCTGGTAGGGGAGATGGGGAGGAGAGGCCTGAGCTTCCTCCCCTTCCCTATCCCAGCCTCCCCGAGGCTCAGCATGTCCGGGTTTGGCCCAAATTACAGCCGATTGGTCCCCCATTATTGCTCTCAACTTTTAATTTCTGCTTCCGAAGGATCATTGCCCGCGGTAATTGCCAAGGACCGTCCTTGTGCGCGCAGCAGGCTCCCGGGACCGCGGTGGGAGGAGGCGTGCACACCCGCTGGAGCACACGCCCGCGCTCACACTCGCACCCTGGACACGCGCGCGATCTGCCGGCTCCCACCTGGGTCCAGCAGAGGCGGTCGGCTAGCCGGCCTGTACGAAGGAGGGAGACGCGCGGCCCGGCGCTTGCTGCGCTCCGCGGCCAGACTCTATCCTTCGAGGCCGCAGGGTCCTGTCCCGGAAACGTCGCCCCTGTAGACGAAACGTTCACAAATCCTCAGGCCATGCGTGGGCCTTCCTGTCTCTGCGGGTGCGGGCAAGGGGGCATTTGCCTGTTATTTCTGGAAGAAACACACACTTTCCCCTTACTTGCAGTCTATCGATTTTTATGTAGGCCGCCTGCCATTTGTGCGATTTTACGGTCCCCCTTTTGGGGAGCGGGGGTGGGGACGGGAGGGTAGTCCAGCCTTCCTCATTTCGATTCCACTTCTAATGAGCGACCCCGCGAGCCGCCAGCCCCGCCCCCCGCGAGGACTCTCGGCCCGGCCCTAATTTGACGGCGCAAAGGGGGCGGGTGCCCACGCGGGGGATGGAAGGGCAGAGACCCGGGCTGGAGAGCGCAAGAGGCGAACGGAAGCGACCGAGGGCGACGGGAGCGAGACCCGTGCAACACCGGGGCAGGGGCTGAAGACACTGCAGAGACTCAGAATCGGCGCGCAAGACCCGCACCCGTATCCCTAGCCGCGAAGGGCGCCAGAGCGCGGAACCCCCGGGTGCACAGAGCTCTACGCGCGGGGAAGAGGCCGGGCTGAGCGCAGGGCGCTGCGCAAGGATGTCCTGGCCAACTCAGGGCTTGCGGGCCCGGGCGCCCCAGGGCCTCTGCGGCCCCTCCGCCGCCGCCGATTGATCCCGCAATTATTTAAAAGCCCGGCTGTCTCCTCCCCCTTCGCGGAGGAGGCGGGCGCGCGGTTTCCAGCCCAGCTGAGGTGCGGCGACCCGCTGCTGACCGACAGCCCGCAGCGGACTACGCTCCGGCTCCGGGCAGTGCGTCTGTCCGTCCGGCCCTGCGGCTCCGTCCGTGTGTCCCACGCGGGGCCCGCCTCCTCTGCCCGGGGTCGTTCGCAGCCAATTAGGCGTGCGCGCTAACGAGGGCGGCGGAGCCCGGCGGCCGCCTGCGGGCGCACGTGTGTGCGGCGTGTGGGCGCGTGGGCGCCTCCGGCGGGGCCGCCATAAATGCGCGGGCCGGGCGCGGCGGGCGCCTGAGGCGGCGGCGGAGGCAGCACCAGGCATCACCGGCCGAGGGGGTGCGGCGCCGAGCCGCTGCGGTCGCCTGCGCGGGCAGCCGAGGATGGGAGCCCAGTAGGCGGCGGGGCCCGAGCCGCCGGAGCGGCGGGAGGCAGGCATGAGTGCCAGCGGCCCGGCGGCTCCTGGGGACGTCCCCGCGCTGCCGCCGCCGCCGCCCGGGCCCGGGCCAGGGCCCGCACCACCCGCCCCTGCTGCCGCTGCTCGGGACGCTATGGACGGGCGCGCTGAGCTGCCCGCCTTCCCCAGGGCCGGTGCCCCGCCGCTCGCGGCCAGCGACACTGTGCCCGCAGTGCCTGAGGGGGCTGGAGCGGCCCGGCCCGCCGCGCCCCCGCGCCCCACCTCCTTCTCGGTGCTGGACATCCTGGACCCCAACAAGTTCAACAGCAGGAGACGTCGCTGCGTGCTGCTGGGCTCTGTGGCGCCCGCTACGTGTGCCCCGTGCGTCCCGACCCCGTGCGCCTCGGCCCCAGCCGCCTCGGGACGCTCGCCGTGCGCAGAGGAGCAGGAGCGCCGAGCTCTCGCCGCCGCTGGGGGAGTCGGAGCCGCCGCTGGAACCGAGCCGCTGAGTGAGTAGGAACGAGCCGGTGCCGGTTGCGGGGGTGAGGGATCGGCCTCTCCTGCGCGCTTATGTTTTCGGGCCTGGCCCAGCGCCTCGGCTCGGTGCAAAGTTCGCAGAGCGCGGGGTCCGCGCTGGCCCACCAGCAGCCTCCGTTCGACCCGGACTCCAGGGCCCGCACTGCCCGGCGCCTCTGTGTAGGCTCTGCCGGGCCAGGCCCAAGAGCTGAGGGGCTGCAAGGCCGGTCCAAGGTTCGCCTGGACGGTCTCTGGCCTTGGAGGGTAGTTGGTGCTGGAGGCGGAGGGGACATGAGCGGCGGCTGGCCTGTGACCTCCCCGCCCCCACCGGTGGCTGCCAGGCTTCCCTCCTCCCTCTTTTTTTTTTTTTTTTTTTTTGGACAAATCAGACTAATTGTGACAAAACGCTGGTTATCTCTGGAAAAACAATTAAATCCCTTCGATTACAGTTAAGGGGAAATGTGCTTAGCGGCGGAAAGCGGCCGGTAATGGGGCGGCCCGCGCCCCCGGTGCGGTCGATATCCCATTACGGCGCGTGCATATCTCTTTCAAGCACCTTGCAAACTCCCCCCGAACATCTAAATTATAGGGTCAAAATTCGGATAATTACTCGATTAAAACCTATTACACTTATTAGGGGCCGCTATTGATCGCGAATTGCATTCGACCCGCTCCTGATTGCTTTTTTGTGCCCCTTCCCCCCCCGCCCTTCCTGCCTCCAACTTCGGCCCCTGAGCCTTCCATGGACAGGAGCGTTGGGTGGGCTGGGCTGGGCTGGGCTGGGCTGGGCCATCAGCTCAGGCAGGGGACAGCCGGCAGCTTCTGCAGAGAATTTCTTTCCTTCGGATAGAAGAAGGGAGAGGAATCCTGGCTGCTCCCACGAGCTGTTCTCCGAGCCTCCCCTCTATGGGGAACCTGCCAGCCGCCCAGCTCAGGGCTACGCTGAGAGAGAAGGGCACAGCACAGCTCGGAGGGGCAGTGTAGCAGCGCTGGAGCCAGGATGGCCCAAGGTGGCCTGGGGGATAGCTCCTGCTCCTGTTAAGACTGAGTTGGGGCCAGGACACCTACATACGACCTGGGCCAGTTATCCTGGAGGAATCTGCCAGGAACAGATTTATCCTTTATGCCCCAGGAACTTCATGCCCACATGGCCTGAGAGCTGACCTCAGCATAGGGTTAGCACCTCGGATGGCACCTGTGGGGCTCCTTTGGCAGCTTTAAAGCCACTAGTCGGGTGAGGGGTGCACAGAGGACCATCAAAGCCCTGCCCAGGATGGACGCTTTCTTCCAAATTTTAGAGACAGAAGGCTGCCACACCCATGCTATGCTCCCTTTCCATGCTCCAGCCCAGAGGGCCGCGCGTCCCAGTCTCTCCCCCTTGTCAGGTCAAGCAGAGATAGCAATGGTGGGAAGGGGAAGGGGCCCTGAGAGGCAGGCAGAGAAGCCCGGCACTGATGCTAGCTGTTGGAGTAACGGGGCCCTAGGCTTGAGGTTGGACCCGGCCAGGGTAACTGATTTTGGCTCTGAGGGACCCTAATCCAAGCTTCTAGCTCTATGGACTATTAAATGTCCCGTGATTGGCTGGCCCCACGCCCGCTGTAATTGAAGGGTAATATACACCGAAATAAATTAATGGCCTTTAACTAGTTTGTATATCACACAAAATGAGTTTAATTAAGTTTGTATCTGCCCCGTGGATCGATCGGAGCGCTCTCTTCGTTGGACATTCGGCAGGCCCGCGCTCACCGGCGCCCTGTTGGGCATGGGGCAGTGAGATGCGGCTGCGGGTCCTTTCCATGGAAGGCAATGACGAAGGGACAGAGATAACGACACGAAGGGACAGAGATGCCTGTTCCTCAGGCAGGCACAGAGGAACAGCGGGGAGGAGGGAGGAAACGAACCAGCTTCGGAGAAAGGAGGCAAATGAGGAAGAGGGGACACTGAACGAGGAAAAGGAAATCTCGCAGGAAGGGAGCGGGCAGGACGGCGGGGCGCGGGCCTGACCCTCTGTCCTCTCCTCTCTCGCCGCCCTCAGGTGCTGGCGACCCCTACAAGGCTGATGAGGCCGAGCCTAACGGCTACAGCAGCGGCGGCGGACGTAGCCCGAGCGCGGACAGCGGGGACGAGGCGCCCGACGACGAGGACGAGGGGCGCGAAGCGCGGGCGCGCTGCGCGGAGGAGGCGCGGGGAGGCGGCGGCCTCGGGGCCCGCGGGTCGGGCTGCCCGGGAACGGCTGACGCCGACGCATCCCCAGTCGACGAGACCGCGGCCCCCGGGCCCCGTGGGAACTCGCCGGGAGCCTCAGGCCCACCGGTAGCCGCGGCGGCAGCTGGGGGCGCGGCGACCACCCCGCAGGGCGCGTCGGCGGCGACCAAGCCCAAGCGGAAGCGCACGGGCTCCGACTCCAAGTCGGGGAAGCCCCGGCGCGCGCGCACCGCCTTCACCTACGAGCAGCTCGTAGCGCTGGAGAACAAGTTTAAGGCGACGCGCTACCTGTCGGTGTGTGAGCGCCTCAACCTGGCGCTGTCGCTGAGCCTCACCGAGACGCAGGTGAAGATCTGGTTCCAGAACCGCCGAACCAAGTGGAAGAAGCAAAACCCCGGCGCCGACACGAGCGCGCCCACCGGCGGCGGCGGCGGCGGCCCTGGGCCGGGTGCGGGGCCCGGCGCGGGGCTGCCCGGCGGCCTCAGCCCGCTCAGCCCCTCACCGCCCATGGGCGCGCCGCTCGCCATGCACGGCCCCGCGGGGTACCCGGCGCACGGCCCCAGTGGGCTGGTGTGCGCCGCGCAGCTGCCCTTCCTGTCCAGCCCCGCCGTGCTGTCGCCCTTCGTGCTGGGCTCGCAGACCTACGGCGCGCCTGCCTTCTACGCGCCGCACCTCTGAGTCAGCGGGACGCAGGGACTCGGGCGACAACCGTCCTACGCGGGCCCCAAGGTGCCCGCGGCCGGCTCTTTTTCTAAGGCTTCAGTCGTTGGCCCTGTACATATCGGGTTCCTACAGAGGCGTTTTATAAATGACCGCGCGTGGGGGGTCGGGCCAGTGGCTCCCGCGCGCCCCTCGGAAGCACTTTGCAGAACTTCCCTCAATAAACCGCAGGAGGCCGCACCCCGCGTGTCGCAGGCTTCCGCACCAACCTCGCGCCCTTCGCTCCTCCCCTCCCTGGTTCGGACCCCCCTCCCTCGTGAGCCCCCTTCGTGGGGGACTTTAGTGCCCCCGAGCCTCCTGGACCGGCTTCCTCCTGGCCTAGTGTCCCGCAGCCGGGGCTCACCCTGTGGGCTTGAGGCTGTGCGCTGGCGCTGGCCTAGCTGGAGGGCTGAGAGGCCCTCCGGACTGTGTCGCCGGCCCCTTCCCCTTTTCCTGCAGGCTGGAGCTGCTTGGGCCCGGGCAAGGGGCAGCACTCGTCCTGCCGCCCTGCTCCCCCTCACTCCCTGGCCTAAAATATCTAAAGCCTTGGTGTCAACTTGTGTCAGGCGGGCGTCTGCCGGCCCGCCGCCTGCACCCTCTCCAAGAGGAGGAAACGGTTCCCGAAGTTGAGCTACCAACCAAGAGCACCTTGAGTGGAGTCTGACGCCAGAGCCCTTCTCAGCACTCCACTCTCCCTGAATAATTGTGGGGACGGTTCTCGCTGGGGCTCCTGGAGTCTTGGGAGTGTTGGGCTCACCCAAAACTGGGCAGCGGTGGCACTGAAGAGTGGGTGGATGCTGCAGGGATGAGGGCACTGCCTGGAGGGACAAGGGAGACCCAGCAAGCCAAGGAAGGGCTCAGAGTCCTAGTAGCAGCGGGAATGGGGTGCAGCAAGGCCAGGTGACTCCCCTCCTATGCGAGCCCTGTGTGGCTTGCAAGGGAACAGGTTATGTGCCCCCTGCACTGGGCTGTCTCCTCCAGCCACCCTCTCCTTTGCAGTGAGGGCTTGCCTCCCAGCTAGTCAGCTGGTTAGCACCTTTGGGAGCAGGCTTGATGATGGGTGGCAGTGACGGCAAGAGCACAGGCAAGAATGGAAAGAGAGTTCCTTGTGGGCAAAGCCCACTGGTGCCACTTTGCACCAGTCTGGAGGGGCAGAGGCAGCTAGAACAGTTTGCCCACTGCTGGCTCTCCCTGCTTTCCCGCCCCACCCCCCAGTCCTACAGTGTCAGCAGACACCTGGGGCCCCACTCCAGTCATCCATACTGCACTTTTCCCTTTTGCTTGGCTCTAGCACTGCCTGAAGTGACCCACTTTAGCAGTAGTGAGTTAGGATCACACTTTGAGCTCAGCCTCCATCACATTCTAACACAGTGAGGCCCAGCCTGTGGAGGCCTGCGTGTGAGCAAAGGTAGCTATGAGATGCTGGTGGGTAGGGCTACTCTGGGTTTCACAGCTGGGGCTGGGTCTCCAGGGTGCAGGCAGCTGACTGGGGAACCCTAGAGTGTTCCAGAGGCTCTTAACTTCAAGTCACCAGTGGTACTGCAGGCTTGGTCTGCTTGGTCTGAGCTGGGGCAACAAGACACAGCCTCTACTTATGGGAGAGGCCACACAAAGGCTGGACCATCTGACCCTCCAAGGCTCGGGCCTGGACAGAGCCTATATGTCCCCTCTCTGTTCCCTGCTTCCTTATGCCAACCTTGCTGAGCTCAGCTGAGACCTGCTGGGACATCCCAGGACTCTACAGAGTTCTGAGTTCCAATCACGATTGGAATCTGGCCACATAGCCAGGCCCCAGCCTTCTGTGGCACTGGGTCTTGGCTGAACTGGGCACTTCAACTTCTATGTTGGGTGGGAGGCAGCGAGGGCAGTAATCAGCCCCAAACATGTTCCTCACTCTCAAAGATGCTCCAGCGCCAAACCCAGGCTGCAGGACTGTGGAGAGTGGTGACCAGGGGTGGTATAGTCTGGGAAGCAGTGTCCCTGCCATGCACGGCACTCCCACTGCAGTTCCAGGTGCACATCCATGTGTCATGCCACAGGAGTGGGGCTGCTTCCTTGCATTTCCCTGGAACAGCTGCCTTTTGGTGCACACTTACTGTGTATCAGTCCCTGTCTGCGACAGACCTGTGTCTGCCCACCTCAGCCTCCTAGAGCCCTGTGGTGACTGCCATGGTTCCCTGTCCATGACATGTAGGAAACAGGCCCACGAGGTTGGGGGCTGTCAGGTGCCCCACCCCTCCTGGAGGAGCAGGCCAGGACTTCCCCATTCTGGCTGCAGCCTCTCACTGGCTCTTCAGGCACAGGTGCATTTGGGGAGTGTGAGGGCTGCAGGTTCTCTGGCTGCTTCAAGGAGCCCTCAGGTTGGACCCATCACTCTCCTCTGGCCAGGTTTGGGGGCCTGTCCCCTCCTGTTCTCAGCCTGAGCCTCTGGTGCCTGACTCAGGCTGGTGGTGAGGTAACCTGCCCCCTTTGGTGTCCATGCTGGGAGGCTGTCCTGCCCCCCAGGGGATGAGAGCAATCCTCTCCTAGGACTCAGGGCCAGCCCTTCCCCTGGACAGCTTCCCCCACAAACCCAGAATTATACCAAGGTGGTTTCCATATAGAAAGGCCTCTGTCAGTAAGCAAGGCACAACCCTACTGACAGAGCAGGCTCACCTGGGGGCGGGAGAGGGGCCTCCACTCTCACCCAGCCCTTCCCCCTCCCGGGCACAGACCACGGAGCTCAGACACTGAGGAAGCTCCCAGTGAGGCCACCATCCCGCTGCCACCAAACCCATGTGCTGTGGGTTGGGCTTGTTTGCATGTAAGAGAAAACCCAAATGAACAGAAGTTGAAAGAAGATTGTTTATTTTCTCTTTCATGAGGGAATTATGGCTAGTGGCAGCCCTAGGCGCAGACATGACACCATCACACAGTCCTCAGCAGCCCAGCTCCATCCAGCTCCCTGCTGCACTATACTGGGGAAACAGAGGCTCCAGCCAGCACATCCTCATTCTAGACAGGAAGGGAGCCCACCCCTTCCCTTTTAAGACACTTCCCTAAAAGCCCAGGCCATGCAGTTGCTTGCCACCCTGGGCAAGGGAGACTGGGAAATGGGGTCTTTCCCCAGAGTTAGGCCCAGTAAGGCCAGTGGGGGCTTCCTGCTGCCCATTCTGTTCCCAGAATTTTGGTGTGCGAAATTGTGCACACCAATCCCATGTTTGTCACCTTTCTGGCTGCAGCAGCAACCCTGCTTGGCTATGTCGTCCTTCCAGTGTCTTGTCCTCACTTACCTACACTACACTTGCTGAGCTCACTGTCCACTGTTTAGTCTACACTGGCTGTCTACACCTCGATTGTTTTTGGCCTCACCCTTGCTTGGCAGGCCCTCACCTGTCCTGTGCATGAGGTGTCCCCAAGACCAGCAGTCCTCACTGCCTACCGTCCATCTCCTGCACCATGTCCCTAGTCCAGAAACACGCAGGACCCAGCCCCTCCCCACCTGGTGGTGCCCCACGTCCAAGGTCCTGATATCTGAGTGTCCCTCACCCTTGTGGATCTTTTCCTAGGTTTTTCTGACCTCAGGGCCACATGGAGCTCAGAGGGGCCCTCCCTAGCCTCTGGAACAAGGATGATGTTTGGGATAGATGAGACTGGACAGGAGTGCGCACGCACACACACACACACACACACACACACACACACACACACACGGGGGCGGGGGGGGGGAGGAGGGAAAAGAGGAGGTGACAGCTGGGAAGGTGGCCAGGCAGGTCATCACAAGGATACAAGGACAGGGAGTTGTTGGGAGGGAGCAGGGCTAAGACCTGTCCTACTAGGCTGGGCAGCCTCCAGCACTGCTATTCATGAAGGCCCCTCACCTCCCAAAGGTGGTCCCTCTACTGCAGGATCCCACCACCTGCCCACAGGTCCAGGTCTGTGATGTCCACATCCCACCTTCTCCCAGAAAGCTCTGCATAGCAGCCACCTTTGGGGCTGCTCTTTGGTGTCCTGATCTGTTCCCTTTCTTCCATCTCCGAGGATAAAGACAAATGTCCGGTTCTGGGGCTGGGGGCAGCTGGACATTTGACTACATTCTGACCAAGCTGACATGAACAGTGAATGTGTTGGAGAGGGACCCAGGAAGGTAACTCAAGAGTCTCAGTGGGCAGGTACAGCCCACTTCCTTTTGTAGGCCCTATGATGGCTGGAGCCTCAGCAACTCCCTTGGGCTGTGAGGTAATCCTTGAAGATACATGCTGACCCAAAAAACTAGAAATAGACAAGGCCTAGTGTGCCATATGTCCTCCTCACCAGCATGGGGCACCCACCTTTGGACTCCTGACAGAAACACATCTAAACCCTTGTGCTTATGAGTCACTGTTAAAAAGAGTTTTCAATTTTATGTGACCAACTGTAGTTCTGATACCCCACTTCCATAACGGCTGCCTACCCGAGCACTGAGGCTGCCACTCATGCCCTGCCTGTGCTCCCTCCTGCCAGCCCTTTCACTCACCTTCTGCTGTTCCTCTGGCTTAGCCAGTCGACTCCTAGCCAGCCAGCCATGTGCCTTCTGCCCTGTGCTCCATCACCAGCAGCCCTGTGGCCACTCCCAGACATAGTCCAGTGCTCAGCCTGACCCTGAGGACCTACTGCTGCCACTCATAGCCTTGATGGATACTGTCCACAGAACCTTGCTCATTCCTTTGCTCATCTGCAGAGCAGATCACTGGCACTAACCCCTCCCTCCTGCCCCTTCCATCTCTCCCTTACCCGCTCCCTCCTTCTCTACACTCCCATTCCCCACTCCCTCTTGATATGGGCATGAAAGCCTGCAAAGCCTGCTGCCCCTGGCAGGGGAGGAGATGCTGGGACCCACCACCGGTGGCCGTGGCTCTTCCAGCCCTCGGCCAGCTGAGCATCCTCAGCACCTGCGCCTTATTTGGGCCAGCTTGGCCCTCTGTCCCCAGGGTATGCCTCTCCTGCAGTCTCTCCTTGGT